CATCACTGAGAAAGTAGTTGTAGGGTCATTCGGAAAATAGTTATTGCCATAAGGTATCTCCAGAAGGCACCATGTTTAGAACACTAGGCTAGGAATCAAGGGAATTGGGTTCTATTCCTGACTGTCACCGGTAGCTGCATGACTTTGGGCAAGTCATTGTGCCTTTTCTCTATTTCAGTTTCCCTTTCTGGATTGAGATCTTTTTTTGTAAAGCACTGTAAGAGCTGCACTATGTAAAACAGAAATATTATAGGTAGGCAGGAAAGGGGTGAGAGAGAGGGGGGTGTGTTGGAGGGAGAAAGAGAAGACCACTATGTTATATGCATCTAAACATAATCTGTAAATCAAAATAAATATACAGCTAAACAGTGGTCATATTATAGGAGAGAGAATTCAGTGCAAGATACAAGTAAAGAAGGAAACTGATTGCTGGAAAGAAAAACAAACATAATATAAAAGGATAATTGTGGGGAAAAAATGGTTAGGCATAATGGCCTAGATCAGGGGTAGGCAACCTATGGCACGGGTGCCGAAGGCAGCACGTGAGCTGATTTTCAGTGGCACTCACACTGCCCGGGTCCTGGCCACCGGTCCGGGGGGCTCTGCATTTTAATTTAATTTTAAATGAAGCTTCTTAAACATTTTAAAAACCTTATTTACTTTTCATACAACAATAGTTTCGTTCTATATTATAGACTTATAGAAAGAGACCTTCTAAAAACGTTAAAATGTATTACTGGCACTCAAAACCTTAAATTAGAGTGAATAAATGAAGACTCAGTACATCACTTCTGAAAGGTTGCCGACCCCTGGCCTAGATCTTTAATGCTATTTAGGCACCTAATTCCCGATGAAATCACTCCTGGAAGTTAAATGACTAAATACCTTTTGAGGATCTGGACCAATGGGTCTGATTTTTCTGAGTTGTTGAGAACCCAGCTAGGGTGACCAGATGTCCAGATTTTATAGGGACAGTCCTGATATTGGGGCTTTGTCTTACATAGAAGCCTATTTTACCCCCCTCCCCATGTCCCGATTTTTCAAATTTGCTATCTGGTCGCTCTACCCACTGCCCACACTAACTTCAGCTGGAGATGGGAGGGCCTCTCTGGATTCAGTCCTCTCTGGAAATCAGGCCCAATACATCCTGTATGTTTATGTATAATCAGGCACTATGAACTTCTCGGATTGTCCAAGTACATAACAGTCTTTGGCAGACATGGGCCTAAGGGTTAGTACAAACAACAACAGTGATGAGCATGGTCTCAAAACCTAGACTGATTACAGGATGTTACATGGAGCATGTACATTTAAATAGATCCCAACATACCAGCTTCATGGATACCATATGTCATACCCCATAGTAATCCTATGGAGTGGGCAAACAGTCCTCTTGGTCGAGATCAAGAGCCGTGTCAGTTTAATATATGATTATAACCTCTGTTGGGTGATTGTATCCTGCCTCTGTGGGGCATGGGCTCCATTAGGCTTTGTCACCTCTAAATTTGTATGATCATATGTATTTCCAGCCCACAAACAAGACACATAATGCATGTTGGTATATCCCCTGGGAAACATATTTGGAGGGATGGCCAAATTTCAGGGTCTGTTGCTCTTAAGAGGGAGTTACAGATTTTCACCAATCCACCAATTAATATTTATCCTTTGGGACCATAAGCAATGAAGGAATAACCCTTTGTCTCTGCTGCATTTAGGGCAGGTGGCCATTTTCAGTTTTCAAAATAGCAGCCGTGTTAGTCTGTATCCGCAAAAAGAACAGGAGTACTTGT